CAACTGCTCTGTGGGAGAATGCTGTGGCCATCTGGAAACCCTATGGGACAGTTGTACTCTGTCCTGCGTCACTGAGACAGAAGACACTAGATGGCAATGGGTTTGGGGTTGTGGTTTGCTGCACTGGAGGGGGCTTCCCACTGCTAGTACAATGAATGAAAATAAAGCCAAGTCACTGCACAGAGGTTTTGTTTCCTGGGGGTGTGGGGGGCAGGATGGTCTTGGGTCCATGATGCAGAGTCACTGAGAGCCCCAGGTGCTAAAGGAAGTCTTCTTCCATTGGGCCTGCTTCCACTGGGGGCTGCTAAGAAAAGTGACTGCTTTTTCAGGACTGTGTGGGCAGCTGGGGGATGGATTTGTCTTAGTGGGTTTCCAGCAGCATCCATCAATCAAGTAGCTTTTCAGAGCCTTTAGTGTGCAGAGCCTGTCTCTGGATGGACCTCCTCCAAGTCTTCAGAGGCACCTCAGAAGAAAGACCTGGCAACTAACTTTCAAAAGGTCAACCATTGAAAACCCTGTGGAGCACAGTTCTCCTCTGACACATGAGTCTGAGTTGACTTGATGGCAATTGGATGTCACAGTCCCATAGGGCTCATGCTTAGCAGGACCCTGGGTTGATGTTCTGTGTTCACCATCTTGAAGTTATTATTAATTTTGAACGAGAGTCCACATTTTCATTTTAGACTGGAAGCCTCTCACATTGTGTCTTCAGTCCTGACTGTCCTGGCTTTTTCATTCTGTCAGTGTGGCCTATCAGCGTCTCTGCTGACAGCCTGGGATGGGAAGGAGAGCCCTTGGCTGGGCATCCAGGAATACCAGCCTTCGGGGATCTATGCTACTGTTGCTCCTCATCTGTGAGAACACCAGAAAGATGTTTACCTGTGCTGTGTTGACTATGCGAAGGCTTTCAATTGTGTGGATCATGACAAGCTATGGCCAACATTGCAAAGTATGAGTATTCCGGAACACTTAATTGTGCCCATGAGGAATCTGTACCGGGACCAAAAGGCAGTGGTTGAACAAAACATGGGAACAACAAATGGTTTAAAATTAAGGAAGGTGTGTGACAAGGTTGTATTCTTCCACCATACTTATTCAATCTGCATGCTGTGCAAATAATCCTAGAAGCTGGGTTCTATGAAGAAAAATGTGGCATCAAGATTGGAGGAAGACTACTGACTGTTACTACAAGAACAAGCAAGTTGCTACCTTGAAGAACAACAAGGAAGCTGCAAGCCACCGCATAACATGGATGAACCTTGAGGACATTATGTTGAGTGAAATTAGTCACAAAAGGAGAAATACTGCATAGGACC